CACCACCAACACAAGATGAACGGAGGCTTGTTCGTGATACCCTCTGTGGTATATCAGGTGAATCTTAGCTGACTTTACTCCGTTTGTTATTCATTCATAATTTTCCATCTGCTTCATTTTAAACGGACTCGTTTCATCAAAAAAAAAACAAACAATCTCCGTTTTCGTTTTCGACTCTCGACCTTAAATTCCAGCTTCGCAAAAGTTGTTTCAGAGTGATCTCGAGAGTAGTATTGCAGGGCTTCCCAGCACTAAAAGATTGATGATAAAATATCGAATTTAGCTGATTACTGATCGAATTATTTTGCACTCATTTCAGAAAACAAATTCGATGTGCTTACAAATATAGATTCCAAGAATCGTTTTGCTTGGAGGAAAAATAAATGCTAATTGCAAAATGGATCGTATGAAGAACGAGATTTATTTCACCGGAAATGACTTCATTAATCATATTTTCTAATAATAATAAGTTCGCCTTGTTCGGTGGTTCATTGTGGCATTATTGCGTTACGTGATAGTGCGTTTGTGTTACAGTGTTATATGGTGTATATATGTGACGTAAAATCTTGCTGATGAAATGTGATTAAACAATTAGAACAAGAAAGACTGAGATGCATATTTACAAGGGACGGGGAGAGGAAAGTTACGCTTGAACACATGCATTTTATATCAGTCAGAGCTCGTCTTTTTATGCAGAGATCTCGAAGACTGATATAAAACGTTCACAACGTGGTATTTCATAGACCGAAGATCACCGAGAAAGTACTCGCCCAGTAATGCGATAATATTTTACANTTGAATCGAGTAATGAGGGAATCATGAAAAAATCACTGAACTGAAAGCAATCAGTGTTAAAATAGTGTTGAAAATGACCAAGGAAAGCATCGAGATCAAGTCGAGCAGCGAAAAGAATCGATGCCACACATTTTTCTCGTGATCAGCTCGCCTCAACTCTGAACAGTATTCGACAAGCGAGTTCAACATTTCGATCACTTCATTCGATTTATCGATACCCTGAAAGTAGCGATTGACGCTATTTCTTTAACTAGCTTGCATTGGAAGGCTTGAAATATCCGAATTATACCTCAGTGGTCTTTTTTTGATTGTTCAAAAGTGGTTGCCTGAATGGATTGCCGTTCAATCGTTTAACGCGATCGTCAGTTCCTATCTCGTTATCACCAACAAGTTTATATATCCAAACAGGCGGTTTACGACCATAACTGATCACACGTTCATTCCAAATCATCACAGCAACTGAGATAAGCATCGCAGCTATAGAAACCAGAGTTTCGAGCAGTACATAACGACCTTGAAGAAGATTTTTTTTTTCGAAATTCATTCTCTATGAATGCGAATGTTTTTTCTCGTCGTTCTTATAGACCACTTTAGAATTTTATCGATAGCATATCTGATTGAAATCGAAACATTGACAAATGCTACACCGCGAATGCGCTTTGAACGTAATTTGAAAGAGAATCAACAAAAAGTTTGAACATAGATTGCAGTCGTGCCTAGTTAGAATGAACAGTGAAGAGCGAGCGTATCAATTGAGTAAACCATTCACCGAGCAGCGGAAGTCCTGCTGAACTTCGTGGCATTTGACCCGTTACCATGTCGAGCACTACGGCCATCGTTAAAAGCGTTGTCAGTCCAAATGAAACCTTTCAAATTAACATTATAAGCGTTCACTCCATTCACATTTCATTTCTTCGGATGTTTCGCAAACAGTTCATAAAGTTATTTTGTGTGCAATCGTACAACAAATTACATCCAAGTTGGCTATCT